TGAGGGGGGTTCACACACATATGGGAATCATTTGTTTTCAATCATTTGCAGTTAAAGTTTCTAAATATTGGAATTTTGCTCCATAATTATTGTAAGCAAAAAAAAAAAAAAAAACATGTTTCGGAAGTAAAAGTCTGGAAAAAAATGCAATTAACAAATTGATCTTGTAAAATGTTTTCTTTGTTCCAGGAATTGCATTCATTTCAAGGTTGTTTTACAGAATAAATTCTTTTCAGTTTAACTGGCGTTCTTTCCTTTGGAGGAAGAACAAAATTCATTCCATACATTTTAGGCAAAATGGAAAACTATTTGTGTTTTTTAATTGCCAGTAAAATTTGCTTAGGTAAATTTAACCTTTATTTTAGTTACCTTTTTCCTGGTTACTTATATTTAGGTAAAGGTTTTCTCAATTTCTTAAAAACGTTTGAGAGTAACTTTTAAAGTTTTCTCAAATTTTATTTTTTAAAACATTGTATTTCTCATTTTACTATTTTAATGTATTTTTTCACATTTTTGTTTTTCTTTTGTTGCTATATTCTATATTTCAGACAGAATTTTTACAAATTGCTTTCTCTTTAAATTGCATTTTACAGGTCACAGTGTTGGTTTGCATAAACATTAGCAGTAAGATTTTATTGGTAAATGTGATGCACAAATCAAAAGAGCGATCTATAAAACACCATCTGAAAAATAGCAATCATAAAACTCAATACTGAAATAATATATAATAATAATTTGAAATATTAAATCTGTAAAGAAAATTTAAAAAATAAAGTATATTTTTAAATTTTTATCTTATTTTTTATTTCACCATATGGTTCCAGTGTTGTTCCCTTCAACAATATTGGAACAAACTCCACTCCATAAAGTAAAGGTTCTCTCAACCCGGGGAGAGACTCACACAGACAAAAGTTGCATTTAAAAAATATTCAATTTACTTATACAAGTAACACAATCATATTCTTCAAAATATTTCAACCAGCTCATTGACTCTCTAAAATCCATCACACTGAGCATTCTGACTGGGAGATGGAAGCAGATGAAGACATAAACGAAATAAGTTCTTAAGCGCTTGGGCCCCGGCAGAAGAATTCATGCTGTGAATCAACATACGCTTGGATGAGTACCCTGGAAAAGGAGTATTCTTCCTTAGGGGCCCGGACACTGGTGGTAGAATAAGCCAGAGGACGAGTGAGACTGAGAATTTCTGAAGTCCTACTTGCATTATTGACCTGCTTAAACATTTGACGTTTTTACCTCCATATCAATTCAATTCAATTCAGTTTATTTCTATAGCGCCAACTTCACAACACATGTCATCTCAACGCTCTTTACAGTTCAACCAGATCATACAGTCAAATTGATACAAAGTTTTCTATCTAAGGAAACCAGTTGATTGCATTGGCTCATTGACTCAAATACAATCCCTC